TCTTCGACCAGCCACTTGCCTGCTTCCTCCTGGCTTCTGTGCTTGGATATGCCCTGGCTTGCAGCCAGCCTTCTGCTCATAGCTGCTGTAACTACTCACCAATGTGTAGTTTCATACTACTGGCTCAGGCAGACCCTATAGCCATCACTGCTTCCCCATAGAAAGGCCTACTATGGAGCACAATTTGCATCTAATGCTAGATGGCATGGAGCAGCTTATGCTCTTCACTCTAAGTTTATAAAGCCCAGATCCTGTTTAAAATCAACCTAGGCTTGTTTGTTCAGGGGCCTTTAGAGCCCATAAGCTAGAAGCAAAGCCATAACTGCAGCCCTGGATTTGCAGCGGTGGCAGGAGATGACTCCTCCAACTAGCTCCACTGGCCTTGCCAAAGAACTTTTGGCTGGCTTTGTTTAGAGGAGGGGGAGTTGTCAATATTTCTTGTGCATATCTAGTGTGTGGTGACGGCTGAATGCCATCTGCTTAGCTGCTGCTAAGAGTGCTGGAAACATCAAGTCCCTGACGGCGCCTGGCTGGGCAATGCTGGAGGGAGGGAGGGAAGAGCTCTGTGTCCATGTGCAGGAGGGTTGTAGGTAATGCAGGTAGAGCGGAGATAATTTGGCATCATGAGCTGGGACTGGTGGGAAATTCTTCAGGCCAGCAACATCTATGAGCCTGAGCAATTGTCATCTGCAGGGGAGGCCTCTTCCCTGGGACTAATTAGAATTAGACTGGGAAGCAAACCAAGCCTGTGGGAGCAGCCTGGCTCTGGCCTGAAAAGGAGGGGGGCGGTCTCTGCTGCTCTCTCGGGGACATCTTGTTCTCTGCCAAGCCTGACAGTACCAGCCCCGGACCAGTCCATTTCCTGAGATTCTGGGCTGGTGTCTCAGCCATCTCTACTCGCACTGCACCCCCTCCTCAGCTGGTTCCCTTTGCACTGTGCAGGTTGGGGTTCCAGGAATGAATCAGCAGCTGCTGGGAAGAGGCTATAGGTCAGGGGTGGGCAAAATACAGTCTGTGGGCCGGATCCAGCCTGCCAACAGATTTTATCTGGTGTGTGGTGGGTCCCTTGGCCTCACCTGGCCCAGGTGTGAGGGGAAGCCTGGGCTGTGATGTGTATAGCCCGTTCTGATGCCCCTGGGCTTGCAGCAGGGCTGGCACAGCAGCTAGACTCTTTCCTGGAAGCCCCAGTGGCTCCCTCCAGCTGCTGCTACTAGTGTCTCTGTTGCCACCAGACCTGCCCCTGCTGCCTGGGCACCCTGGCTTATTCACCCTCCACCCACTGCTGTAGGTGCCAGGCAGAGCACGGTGGTGGGGTCTCCATGGAGATCAGCCTGGGACCTTTGCTGGTAGGGGGCACTTGGCTTGGCTAATGGGTTGGGGCCATGGGTGAGTAGGGAGCAGTGTCCAGGAGCAGGACAGTTCGGGCCAGGGCCAAGGCCAGGACTGTTTCATAGTTTCATAGTTTCTAGGGTTGGAAGGGAC